AGACCTCTCGTCTTAACGCTGTGACCTATCATCATTTCAAAAACAAAATAATAATAATAAAATTTAGGAATAGTAAACAGACCGAAACAAGGGTTTCTGGGAGCTGGCCTATTTAACACAGGCCAATGAGTAACACAGAAGAACCTCTGTAGCAGACTAACATGCACCAAGAACATTTCTGAACACAGTTTTAGACTCGAAACTAAAGATTTTAGTGCCCCCAAACAAGCTAGTCAACCGAGTTGCATACCGCTTCTTTGTAAAACCACTTTCTTCAAAGCTTCTCATGAGGAATTTATTTTTCCCCCCAGAAACAGCAGATTGTGTTCTGAATAAAGACAGCCCTTCAACAAGGATTGACTCTTCCTTGAAAGCCCATCTACCCGATACACCCAGTGGCACCGGGTTGCCTGCCCTCTAGCTAGACATCCAACGCCCTTCTTCTGCCTGGGGGCTGAGTGATTCGGGCATAAAGCCTGAATTCCTGCTTCAAGTAAAAGAAACTGTTAAGGCAGAGATAACTGCTTGAAACCTCTCAGATTCGAAGAAGTGGCAATTATTTTTCTGATTAGCTCTCTCAAGCATAGCCATTTCCTGCATCATAGAATGGTTTGGGTTGGAAAGGACATTCGAGATCATCCCGTTCCAACCCCCTGCCATGGGCAGGGACACCTCCCACCAGACCAGGTCGCTCCCAGCCCCATCCAGCCTGGCCTTGAGCACTGCCAGGGAGGGAGCAGCCACAGCTGCTCTGGGCAACCTGTGCCAGTGCCTCACCGGGAAGCACTTTTTCCTTATGTCTAATTGAAACCTACTCCTCTTCACCTCCTGGTTTCTCAAGGATTCACAAGAACAATGGTGAAAGCTACTGTAGCTCTGGCAGTCCTCTACACAAATGCTGGAGTAAGCCCCAAATACAACTACAGAACAGACTGGGGAGTCCAAGATGAACTAACGAGGCTGAGGTGAAAAAAAAAAAGGAGCCAAAGCAAACCACAAAATCCTTTACTGTGTTCTTCATCCATGAGAAACGGCTACAGGACGCAAACTAAACTCCTGAAGATGCAAGATTTTATCACAGGAGTTTGTTGGACGTTATTTTCTCTAGCTTAAAATCTACCTGTAATTGCAGTTCTGTGACTCGGCTGGTCTAAAACAAACTTACAAGAATAAAAGTGAGAACAGTAGGTCTTTCTGGCACACCAGTTAATTAGATTTTCATTCTGAAGGTCAATTTGTTTATATTACCCACATATACATTTGCAGACCTCTTTAGTAAAACGATTTGCCAAGCAGATTTCAGTCTCATACCCTATTTCTGTGATTCTTTGTTGCATAAAATGATTAAGATTTAGATCAATGCCAAATTCTCACTGCTGTCTCTCAAAGGGCCTCCAACTGTGCCAACTAGTCCCAGCTTTCTTTTTGGAAAATACATGTAATACACAAGCCAAATTGTAAAGATCTCACCGAAGACGTGAGGCATTATTCAACATGATTGCTTATATTCCATAGAATAAGAGATTAAAAACAGGTGTTGAATAATTTTATTTAAATATTATTACAGTGATTATCTGAAGAAAATGTGTGTCTCTGGAACATAGTATAACTCACTCAAAGATTAATTCAGTGAAAATGATTCTTTGCCTCAATGAAAAATAGCCACTGAACTAGCGCATCTCATACTTTGTTACTCCAGACATTAAACAACTCAACAAAAGAGGGTCAATTATTGTGAGAAACCACAGAAATACACACAGAAAACAAGTCAACAGTTACCAACAATTTTCTTTGCCGTTCTCCTAATCTTAGAAATCAGTCAACCCGTGAGCACCAACGGCTGGAAGCAGTGTGAACCAGAACACACGGAGGTAAACCTGAACCATCATTTGCAGAAGGCACGGCCAAAAGGCAAACTCTTCCTTCACACTCAACAACTCTCTGCAGAGAAATCACAACGGGTACATAATCTAAAGCAGAAGCAAGACAAGATCACAGGGGCAAATGGGATTATTGTAAAATGACTGGGAAACTTCTCTTTCCTATTTTTTTTTATAACAAGTTCAAGAAAAATGAGTAGCCACCATTAGGAAGCGAGCTTTTGCTTGAACCGAAAATACTACAGAGAAACACTGATGAAAGAGATAATTAACAAATACCATTTGAAGTGGTAAAGAACTTACAGCAACCGAAACACTGAATTTATTTGCCCTCCTGCTACATAGGGTGTATAATGGTCATCTTAAATAAAACAACATGCAGCGGATTTGCTCTTGCAAATGCTCAGGGTTGACTCAGATCAATGAGGAAAAGGTCAGCTGAGCGATAAGCAGGGTCATAAGGAATTAACGTTTTGCTAGCCTAGACTGCCTACTGGACACATACACTGTGTTTCATTATGTACTACACAAATCAAGTTTAATAACCTTTTCCTGAGATGTCCCAGGAAATGAGGTAGTAAAATTAAAACAGTTAGATGTCTGCTGAAAAGCAAATATATTTATTATGCACTTTCATATACACAGGGATTTTTGCTTAATATAATACAAGGAATAAAATAAAAATTTTACAATGTGAAATTCATTCAATGTACATTAAAGGCTATTTACAACCCACTCCAGGAAAAGCAGTCTATCTGCAACAAACCAAGGTAACTGAGGAGTTCAGATGGGGAATATTAAGCATAACAGACATTTGCATAGCAGAGTAACTGATGAGGAAAACCACCTTTTTATTTTTAAATAAACGGTAATGTTTTCAATACTGATCACAGAGAAGACAAAAACGCATCAATTGTGCCTCTGTATCTCTTAATGCATTTCTCTTCTGAAGAGTTTTTCCACATGCATACAGTATTGATCTCCGTGTCCACAAAACAGTCTTTTTTCCCTAGCTCTCCCAGCAAGAATTTCGGACGTCTTGTGGAGATGACCTTGGAAGGAGCAGTGAAATGGGATGAAGAGGAAACAGGATTCACGTTTTATTCCTTTTTTTTTTTTAGGTTGTGAGAACTATTACATTGCCAGAAGAAACCGCGCCGCTGTGCAACTCCGTTCACCTCCCCTTGCTTGTACGGGTGTGAAAGAGCAGAGCAGGACAGAGCGAACAACAGGGGGAACAGCAACTTTTCTTTGTACGCAAAACCCTCACAAACGATGGTATTAAAAAAAAAAAAATCACACGCAACAGCAACGCAGAATTACACAGACCTTTTGAGAAAGTAGATGTTTTAAAGCCATTCATGCTCTGTTCCAAAGTGATATTCAAAATCTCTAAGAATTGTCTTTCTGAAAACATTTTCAACAGGTCTACTTTCTGCTGATTTGGATATAAGGTATCCCCAGCAACTGTTTCAAATGTAAATATTATTCACACAAAAACCACCAGGCTATCTATAAGTTGTGGCCCCTTGTGAAACTGGCCATAGTTTTACGTCCTCTGTCCACAAGGTGCAATTAATAACAAACACAATAAAATTAAATAAATATAATCCCAATGACAGTCAAGGTCAGTAGAAAAATGTTGGCATTCAGGGATCCCTTTCTACAGAACAAAACGTACACCTAATAACTAAGAAAAGTCGTATTCTTGCACAGTATTGCAAATGTTACTATACTTGAGGTTCAGAACAAGTTTGCTGAGAACATTTTGGTACTTTACTGAGCCACTAACCCTCTTAAGGCCATTCTGCCAGACTCCTGTTATGTTTATTTTATAGTTGTCCCACAGGGACAAGAAATTCAATATATGAAACATTCAGAATAATCAATATTGCCGCGTGTCAACTTTTAACATCTACTTTTACTATATGCTGAATGCCTGGCTATAAAAGATTCTTTTTACACTTAATAACAAGCAAATAAGAATGGAGGTGCAAGACATTAAAAAAAACCCAACACTCTGATGATTGTTAATCATAACAACAAGACACGGAGCCCTTTAGTGCCTTAGAATATGCACTACACATATATCCAGGGGCCATTTATCAAAGTATAAGGATAGCCATACATCTAATTAATCCTCTATGAAAAATAACCTCAGCTTTCTATCATCTTGTTTGTGGAATGCTCAGAATTAGAGTATGAAACAGATGAAACGCAAGCCTTTAGAAGAAATACTCACATATAAAAATAGGCTTATTTTCTAAAGAGCAAGGCTGTGTAACGGTGAATAGTAGAGTGTAGCTTGCATTCATAGGAGAAAATAACCCACTTGTTTCATTTTATCACTCACAGAGCTGTGCAAGTAAGATGTGCACATTCAAAGGAAAAAAAAATCATTCTGTTCACCTTCACAACAATGGCCTTGATTTTGCTCTTTCATATAAGTAAAATTCTTCTGCTGTAAGAGTGGGGAACCAGCTTTCCATTACCCGTAGATGGACTATCCAGCCTGCCAATTAGCCGTGCTCCAGGTACAGAGCTACTCGTGCCGGCTCTACCTAATCCATCTGAAGCAGTAACCACATTCATACCAGTTTGTGCTTTAAAGAGTTATTGTCTCAGGACAGGGCTAACTCAGTAATCTCTGTACTCCCCAGACAACGATAGTACTAACCGTTTGCTTTTCCACTGTACTCTCACTGTATATTCTCTCAGCCTCATTAACAAAGCATCTGTATTTTCCATGGTTTGTTTTACTGACATTCTCAATACAGTCCTTTACCTTGGAAAAAAAAAAAAAAGAAAGAGCTGTCTCTAATGTATGAGATATACATGAAAGCAGGATCAGACCTTTTACTTTAGCACCTAAAACATACCCATAATTCAGATACCTCACCACCGTAACAGTAACGGAGGCTATGTAAGATCAAGTGTCCAAAAGCAAATTTGCCTATTTCTTTCAGTGGTGTCAGTCTGCCATCCAGATTCGGTGCTGTAGTACCAGGCAGTGAGTTTTGCCTCTTAAAAATCCCAAAGATACTGCAGCAGACGGTTGCAGCCCGACTCCTTTGCTACCACTGAACAGCTATTACAAGACAGAACACACGAGTACAGTATTTATAAAATACTGTTACAAGACTTGTATTTCTGGAGAGAACTTTTTGAAGTACACAGGGAACTGACCAAACATTACGACAATGCAAGTGTAACAGTTTGCTTAGTTTCTTTAGCCACAGGAAAATAAATACAAAAAGCACTGCCTTTCCACACGCAGTTCGCTGTGGCACATGCACCTCTACCAAGCGCTCTGGAATAGCAAATCAGAATTCCTGGTTCTTACCATTTTCAACTGTCGTCAGGGAAATTACAGCACGTATCTTCCTGCGATTAAAAAAAGTGCTCATTCTGTGTATTAAATACAAAGTACACAAAATAAATTTTTGAAGCACAGAGGGTTATACTGAGAAGGCAGCCTGAAAATGTAGGCACGTTACAGTAATTAAGGTAACTGTACTGTAGTAATCACATTCTTGAACTTCTAGGTGGACTAAACAAGCATTGTATGCTTTCATCCCAGCCAGCTGATAATTCATTCGGAGCAGAAGCGCTTCTGTTCATAGCATCAGGGAATTGGCCTAAAAGTACAAAATAAAAACATTCAGTTTGGAAATATTCCGTAACATGAACGGGGAGCGATATCATTTCTAATTAAAGTTAAAAGCACACAACGACATCTCGACGAGGAGAAGTATTTCCCGCCTAACTCAAATCCCATGATTGATCCCCTGTGCTCTCTGCCACCCAAAATTGCTACAAGGTCCCCACCGCAGGAGAGCTTCCCGGCTAGAGCTCGGAAGCGACAGCCAGGGAAGGAAAGCCGTTCCTCAGGTGCTCCGGTAGAGTAATTCTAATGTGCCTCTCCATGGTGAGTAATTTATTCACCGGTCAGAGAAATTACTGGTTTTGCGCTCGAGACTCGGCAAAAGAGAAGGTAAATGATAGCCTGCGCCAAGCAATTCATAATCCACGCAAAATTTGTTTAAACTTCCGTATTTAAAACGAAACTATGAAAAATCCTTAGAGAAAAAGCAAAAAGGAACCATTTAGTTACCCATCGCTTCAGATGCTTTGCCACTTGCATAACCAAGTACTTCACAGAGAAAACCCCTGAATTTTCAATAAAGCACTATTTGTTCCAGATGAAGCAAAGCCCAATTCGAGTTTCAAAAGCGTGCGTAGAATGTTCAATTTTTTTTTTTTTTTTTTTTACGTTTTGTTTATATTTTAACATCAACAAAGATGGAAAATTCATCAAAACTACCCTTTTGACAACAGGTCAGATCAATACATTCTAGGTCAGAACCATACAATTTATTTACAATGAAGCATAACACGAAGGCAAGCACCGAACATCAGGCATAGGTACATAAGAGTTAGGAAATAAAATTCTTAATACATTTTAATACGTTTTATAGAGGCAGGAAAAAAAAAGACGACAAATTCAAAACCTGTTTGGACACGATGTAGAACTGTGGGAATCTTTTGACTTTTACGAAGATTTCGGGCCCATTCTCTCTCACCTGCTTATTCCTCTCTACGCCTGCTCCTGTCGTCCTGCCTCTTCACCTTTGCCTGCCCCACAGCTCCTCCGACCCTTTGCTAATATTTGCATTTTACAAGGGTGCAGGCTCTAGTACACTGCTTTTTGAAACACTGTATTGTTCCAAATCTTTCAATTTAACCCAAATGCCAAACCCAAGGAAATATCTGAGAGTCCTGCACAATATTCTAACGCTCTGCAATTCACAAGAGATCTCAGACACACATCTAGAGTGATGCGTTCCATTACAGTGAAATCCATTGTCAGGACACTTCGGGAAAAGCCCTGACTGTGTGGTTTTGACAGCTGAAAACCTCCCATCTGTAGATTCTGCACCACCTGCAACTGCCCTAGAAACCTGCAGTCTTTGATGACTTGCAGCAGAACTGAGTCAGCTAGCAAGAACGTTCTTGTTCTAAGGAGCAGCAGTCTGATCTGTCAAAAATGCAGCATTTACACACACAAAAAATACGTTTTCATAAATAAGCAAATAAGCGCTAAGAGATGTGCATACGTTTCATAAAAACGCTGCTGCTTTGAAATTCAAATAGAAAAAATATTAATTATTAACATATTCCCAATACCCTAAAAAAGGTAAATCTCATCAGGAAGAAGGAGAAAAATAGTTCTCTTTTAGATGACTCACTGACAATTCAGGTCTGAAAAAGCTACAAAAAATTCCTTTTTCAGCTTAAAATTCGGTACGGGAGAGAAAGTGAGAAACCTAAATGAACTCCACTGATGAAGAACTACAAAATGTCCAGAAAATTGGTACAATAACAGATTCTAATCTTGCTCTGAGTAATGCCTCTTTTATAGGAGGGTTATCTTCACAATAACAGAAATATAAAACCAAAGCTTTAGTGGAGTATTGTAACTTCTTAATTTGTAGATTTAATTATGCTACTAAGGTTTCCCATTTAAAATCCAAATTCACCAAAGTAAAGTGGTTGCCTGTAACTTACAAAAACCTTCAGAAACTCCCTGAAAAGCCTTTTCGTAAATAATGAAATAATTACTGTATCTGAAAACATCACACACTAAAATTCCCGGCTGCCCTTATGTTTGAAAAGAAAATTCCAAATGCATGTGACATGAAAGCTGCCATTTTATTCAGTCACGTATCAAAGGCAGCGGGGGAACGATTTGAGCAATCAGAACTCGACAGAAAATATGACGGGGATCCAACCCCTCTACGGTCGATGCTTTTGAACGACAACAAAACAAATACTTGTCAGGTTAAGATTTTAACGCTCACGGTTTTCATTAAGAAAGCAATTAGGATTATAAAACGGCAACGGAATGTAGCTTTGGTGTATTTAAAATGCACACGATAAAATAAGACGCATTTGCTTGCTTTGTGAGCGGATAGGTTACCTTTTACAACGGTGTTTCCTTCTTGTAGTTGAAACTTGGGTCGCTACCTTCAATCTGAAGTTTTAAGGCTTGCTTAAGGCTGAGTTCTGTCTCTGCGGGAGGATAGCCTTCCAGCACTTCCTGATGCCCTCTGTCCGGCACTGTTCGCGGGACAGAAACCCTACCGAGAAAAACCTGATTGCTCTGAAGATGGTAATTTGGATTCGTCATAATTCCATTTCTCTTCTTCTGCTCTCCGCTCTGTTGGTGAATCAGGAACTGTTGCTGAGATCGACCAACTTCTTGCTGAGCGGGTGGGACCAAAATTTTGCACTGCGGCTCTGCCGGCACTGATTTAAGTGGCACGTTTGTCCCAGATTTAGCAATAGGTACTCGTTTATCAAACTGAGTCATTTCATACTCTAACACTTTTGGTTGGGAGGAACTACTTTGTTTTATTTTTTTTCCAGCTGACCCAGATTTGCTGGAGTTCTCCATCTTCCCTCCTTTGTTAGCTTTAGTTGATTTCAAACTAGGTTTTACTTGGCTCCATTCAAATTCACTACTTGGTGAATTATGATTTTGACTTAGGGAATGAGTTGTGGAAGAAGGAGAAACAATAGACTGCCTACTTCTGCTGCGTGGCAGGGAATGCTGCTGTATTTGCTCTGTGAACGAGAGGCTGTGGAAACTATCGATGGGCACCGTCTGAGCAGTCGCAGTCGACGACGTGGTGCGGAGAGAAGAATTTTTGGAACTTTTCAGGGAATTATTTGATAAAGAGGACTTCTGACGGTCGACCGTAGAATCGGGCGACTCCGAAGGAGAACTGAAGGCATGAGCAGGCCCGTTAGATAAGCCACGCATACTAGGCTGCATATCTCCACCGGTACTCCCTGAACTATTTGACTTCATTGTTAACGACTGCATTTTAGTGGAGACGGACTGTAAGGGTTTTTGCTCCATTGTGTGGACTGGAGATGGAGTGCAACCATTCAGAGTAGATGCACCGTATTTTTCCAGTAATTTAATAATCTGAGAGTGTCCATTTTTAGCTGCAACGCGCATAGCAGTGCGCCCAAACTGGTCAGCATGATTTGGATCAGCACCATGCTCCAGTAATATCTGGACAACGTCAATGTGCCCTTCTTGGGCTGCAATGCAGAGTCCAGTAGCACCTTGATTACACGTATGGTCAACCAGAGCTCCATGCTCAATGAGAAGCTGCACGACCTTCACATGACCTTGCCATGCAGCAGACTGCAAAGCAGATCTCTTCTCGTTGTCTGCAGCATTCACATCAGCATGGTATGTTATCAGCACCTGTACCATCTCCAAATGGCCCTGCCAGCAGGAAACATGGAGTGCCGTTCTTCCTTCAGCATCACTTGCTTCTACGTTTGCACCGTTTTCTAGAAAGTACTCAGCCATGGTGAGCTGGTTTTCTAACGCTAAGATATAAAGTGTTGGCCGGCCATCAGCATCTTTGTAGTTTACATCTGCTCCATGGCTGAGCAGTAGTTCAACTATATCTCTGTGACCTTCTAAAGCAGCAACCCGGAGAGCATTTCTCCCGTCATAGCCTCTCTGATCAATGTTGGATTTATTTTCCAGTAATATCTGCACACAGTCATAGTGACCTTCTTGTGCAGCTAATATGAAAGGTATACGCCCATCATTATCAATCTCATTTGTTCTAGCACCTTGTTCGATAAGAGCTTCACAGATCAACCTGTGACCTTCAAAAGCTGCCATATGCAAAGGCGTCCAGCCTGCATCATCTCTATGATTTTCGTCTAGCCCCCTGTCCAGCAGAGTCCGTACGACTTCAACGTTGCCCTGTGCAGAGGCTATGCTCAGAACTGTTCTCCCTTCACTATCAATGCTATCGACAGCTGCACCCCAAAATAAGAGAGTATTTACAACTGAAGCGTGGCCCATGGAGGCTGCTGCCAGAAGTGGCGTACGGCCGTTGTTGTCTGTGTGATCAACATCAGCTCCTCCTTCGAGAAGTAGATCAACGACATCTACGTGTCCTTCATAAGCAGCTACCAGCAGTGGAGTCATGCCATCTTTATCACAATGGTCAACTTCAGCACCACGGTCAATGAGAAGACTAACCACTGAGGCATGTCCCTTACTGGCTGGTACGCAAAGCGCAGCGACAGACAGCGCAGTCCTTCCATCCACATCCTCATGGTTTACCTCTGCACCATGATCCAGCAGGTGCTCCACGATCTCTTTATGCCCCATGTAGGCGGCTGCAATCAAAGCTGTTCTGCCCTCGTTATCAGCTTTATTAACTTCAGCACCGTGTTGAAGCAGATTCAGCACAATATCTTCATGTCCTCCCCAAGCTGCTGCCCTCAGCGCCGTTCGACTGTCAGCATCTGCACAGTCCACTTTGACCCCAGCATAAAGGAGGGCAGAAACCACCTCTGTGTGCCCACCCCACGCCGCAGATCGCAAGGCCGTCCAGCCGTCGTGATCAGTGTGATTAACGTTAGCCCCACATCCGATCAAGCAATTGACCACCTTGGTATGGCCCTGGCGAGCAGCTAAGGTAAGCGCTGTCTGCCCATGAGCATCTTCTACCTCTAGATCGGCTCCCCTTGAAACCAGTAAGTTAACGACATCGAGATTGCCGCTGTACGCTGCATTGGCCAAGAGCGTTCTCCCATTGGAATCACACTGGTTTACTGACGCTCCGTTGTCTAACAAGGTGCGAATGGAATCCTCCCTCTCCAGAGCCTGCCGGACAATGCAAGACGTGCGGTCGTCCTCGCTGTTGACGTGAGCACCAGCTTTTACCAGCAGCTGTAATACTTCTTGTTCTTTAGGAATCAAGGTCGACAGGGAGTCTTTGACAGGCGTGCCATTCCATATCATCCATAACGCCAGCTCCGAAGTCTCCAACTGTAGATTTGAATTAATTAGATGCAACGCAAACTCTTGAGCTTCTAACGGCGTTAAATCCTTTGCTCGGCAAGTGTAACTCATCGCCAGCATTCTGTGTCCCTCTGCTGCGTTACACAAGTATTTCTGTGTACAGTGCTTCACGTCTAGCAGCCATTCTGCAAAACTGTAATGAAACAAGATTTTTGTATTCCCAAGTCCGTCAATAAGGACCTTCGACAGGACATCCAACTTGCGTTGAAAGTCTTCCATCGTCAACGTCATATTTTTGGTCCACACCGCGTGATACAATTCAGTCGTGGTTAACGGCCTACAGGCTGCAAGAATTACGTTAAGAATAGGCTGGACTTTTGCAAATTGTTTTCTCACAAAAAGTCTCTGACAGAGCCAAAGGTATAGGCCGTTTAACGTTCCCGGAATATCACGGATCTCTCGTAACATAATAAAATTCTCCACAACTCCATCTAGGACGCGTTCCAGGTACAAAAAGCAACCGCTGCTTTTGATGTGAAGCTGATTCAGCATTTCTGCAGTTTCTTTTGTGAGATGTTGTCTCAGTGCTTCTTCCTGATCTAAACGATGCAGAATATATTGCTGCACATCTTTCACAATATAAGCCTTTCGCAGATCATCCAGACTTATTTTTCGAAAACCTATTAAAAGGGAAAAGAGTTATTATTATTTCTGATCTAGTTTCGTTTAATTCATTGTTAAAAAAAAAGTAAATAAGACAGACATTTCTGGGTAGGGAACACCCACAACCACGTATTTTGTGTGTACACATAGTGAGTGTAAATTAATAATAACAGTAGAGAACTTTGATAATACACACGTTTTTATCGTCATCTACCATAAGCAGAAAAACGTGCTACTAACGAAGAAAATTTGAAAAAATCACTTTGAATCAGGCATTGTGTGCCTACCTTGGACAACACTAAACACCTATGCAAAACCACTAGGACAGCAACCAAAATAAGATTATTAAGTATTATTATATTATTAAAGGAATAACCCCTTCTCCAATGTGGTTAACAATGGAATTCAAAATAATTTTCAGCTATTTAGATTAAGACGACTATTATATTAATGTAATTATAGAAGAGGTTACTCACACCTGGTGCACATGTACGATGAAACGTACACAAATCACTTCAACTTGATCACCTTAATTTCTTTTAAAAGCTTTTATGATACAGGAGAGAGAGTCACTCAAAAATAGTTTTAAATATCTTTACATCTCTGTGCAGCGAAAATTACCTACTTTTATCAAGTAAGGACCGAATTTTTTAAAAACACCCTGGTTCTTTGGTAGGTGACTCACTGTATAAGGAAACAGGTTTTCTCATAGTCATATGATCTCATTGTTTTTCCAACCGGTTTACCCTTTAGAGGACAAAGGGAAATTATTTCATACATACATAGTGTGTACATCTCCTCCCTACATGCACACAGCCCCCCCCCTCCAAAGCAAAGAACACTATTCTTCGTGGCACACGTGGAGAAGTCCCTAGGGCAACCTCAGCGGCCACAAGGCTCTCAAGAACGAGGCACAATAAAGCTGCAGTTGTACGGACGACACGGCTACCTCCATCGTTTAAAACATCTGCATTGGCAGTGCCAAGTTAAGCATCTGACAAAGACCTACCCTCTATGATTAATGGCACATCACACTGTTCGAACACCACTGTTCTGCAAGCTACGGGAAACCCTCAGAGGTCACAGACCTTAAACTACCGTGCTTTAGGCCAGAACTGTGCCTCACTTCTCCAGGGACAGGCTGTAATCTCTTCCTCCAGTGTAGCAGATTGGGCACATTTCCTTACAGTCAACTCAGCCAGTCATTAAAAACCCCCCAACTTTGCTCTTCAAACCAAAGCAGTCACTAACCTCCAAATTATATTGAAGAGAAGCAACCATAAAGCAACACATTCAATGCCATTTTGGCCCAATCTCCAGAGCACAAATAATTTGAGACTCTGAAGAACGTTACTTTCAGATCTATGTTTTTATTGTATTTAAACGTTCCGTGGACCAAACTGTTCAGTCTGTGAGCTTGTTCTGACTGAGAATTCTGCCTGATAACAGAGCTGTGGTTTTTGTTCCTGAGTGTCTTCAGCAGAGCTTCTGAATGTCACATTAAGCTCACTCTGTCAATTGTTTAGTCTCCGTGAGCACCGTACAAACACAACAGATTAGAACTGAGTGGCAAACTATGGCAGCGTTATTAAAATATTTCTGCTCCCCTTATTAATTATGGTAGCATTACAAATCTAACAGGCTTAAACCAACACAAAATCATGCTTCTCTCCAAAATAAAACCACTGGATAGGACACTTTTGCACAGTCTGTTCTCAAGCTAAGACTACACTAATAAGATTGCCTACTTGAAGATTTTTGAATGAGGTCAGGAGGCAGAAAATAATCATTTTGGGGGATCTTTCTCCATTCCACAGAACCATCTTTATCCACCATAATTTGTCACAACTTCAAGTCATGTCCTAAACCTGACCTGCAGAATGGCATAATTCATCAATTTATCACGTATTTGATTAAAATATTCTGTGTGTAACTTTGTAAAGCCCTTAATTCCTGACCATTAGCCAAATAAGAAACTTTGCTGAGTCGGAACAGACAGTGCCCTGCGATTCTGCAGACCTCAAGCTTCCACTTCAAGTGAAAGGCTCTTTCTAAGTTACAATCCTTGAGAAGACACTGAAGTGAAAACAGAGGCGATAAAACCAGGGCATCGCTGGGTGCATGCACTCACAGAGCTGTAATCAGACACAAGTGTCCCTTTGGTTGTCTCATGGGTGCAGGGAGCAGCTGTTTTGCTCAATTCAGAGGAAAAGCAAGCGCCACAGTCACTCACCTTCCAGTTCTTCGAACCTCTCTGCTTCTCCTAGTGCAGATTTGTACCTGTCACTTGGCCGAGTAAGAATAGGTACAGAGCTCTGCAAACTCCTCCTCAATGTGTTTAGTCATAAGTGACTCTGCTCACAACATCCCCGATCTCTCACGCTAATCCCATGCCCACATCCTTCCTTCCTTCCTATATATATATCTGCCTATGTAAGTTATTTTTGGGTTTGAATTACTCAAGTGGGTTTTTTTTTTTTTCAGTTTTTATAGCAGTTGATTTCATTTCCCTCCAATGAGAAAATCCCTGATTGACTCACATGACAGCAATCCTGAGATTTCAGCTAATGTTCAGTGTTGCCTGACTAATGACTACACTTCACCTCCCTTGACTCCCAGTCTCCACATGAAAACTTGCAGAGTGATAACTGTGTAAGCGTCTCAGTCCCTGTATGCCTGCTTCAAAAGCAGAAGACTCTTGCTTATCTTGCAGTGTTCTTTAAATAGCAATTTTCATTTTGCTTCCCAAAACAGGTGGGAAAGTGAACAAAACCGTTTCGGATGTGATAAACAAACCTCAAGCCCTCCAAAAAATGTAACAAACCAATGGTTTGTGGTTTTGTTGGGTTTTTTTCCCCTTTAAATGAGGCTGTATCATTACTCTGTTCCGTATTAGAGTTAAAAATACTGCCCTACTCTGTACTTACCTGAGACATGTCTAAGCACTTCAGCCAAGCAGATAAATTTCAGAAGACTTCAGAGCAGTGAGTACTCCAGAAGTCAGTAATTTAAACAATTTGATTTGCTGTCTGTTCACGGAAGCTAAAACCGGTTTCCTTTCTTTTGCAATATTTCTAAATATTCCTTGTTAATGAGATCCTACACGTTGTATCCGAAGACGAGTTTGTACGGCAAGAAGCACGCCACACTCGTACAGCTCTTCACACATCCCAGGGGTGATACGCTCTTTAAGGGCTGGGATTAACAAACTGCCATTGTAACAGACTTTCAAACAGAAATGGGTTGTTAATTTTAACCACTGCACCATGCCATACTAAAAAAAGCAAATCGTTCTAAAAAGGCCTTATAGATAGAATTATTACTTTTTTAAAAAAAAAAAAAATCTCAAATTCTTGTTGCTAGCTTGAAGGAAAAAAACAAAGCCACGTTTTTTTTTGCCCAAACATCTATCTAAATGAGGTCATTTTACATTTCCAAACAAAGATCCTGCAAACTTGCTTTTCAACCCCTACCAGATACAATGAGTCACTTTCACGGACAAGAAGCAGCAGAACATTAAGAGAAAGCTCATTTTGTTTCAGATGCATTCCCATGAACTACTTAAGCTCAGCGAAACAGGAGTGCAGCAGACAGAACCCGCAGTCCCACGACCCTGCTTTTTGCATTGTTAAAATTTTTCTTACAACACATCGCTTTCAACCCAATGGGAGTTCCAATATGGATTTTCCTGATTTATTACATTCCTGGCAGTTCTGTAAACAAATCAGTTCCAAATGTATTTCTTGGCAAGATCTAGGGTCATTCAAAGGAGAAAAAAAACCCTCACAAAACAAAATACAAAAAAATTATTTTGCTACAGAAATACTTTTACAGTATGTCAACCTCTTCAAACTTTAACAATAAAAAATAAGCTATTAACTAGCAGGTTCCAGAAAGTACTTAAAAATATCCTTCTACTTTCATATCTTTAAATACATTTAGATAAAGAAATTAAAGTTTTAAATACATTTTAACGTATTTCATTTAACTGAATCGTTAACTTTAAAGCAATTAAGTACTTAAAAATATCCTTCTACTTTCATACCTTTAAATACATTTAGATAAGTTTTAAATACATTTTAACGTATCTCATTTAACTGAATCGTTAACTTTAAAGCAATCTGAATGATGAAAAACACGGCAATGTTTTGGCATTGATAATGGACACTGCTGATCTAAGCATATATTAAATTAGGTATTTCTATGGCCATTTATGCACACCTGCTCAAAAAGAATTATCCAGCAGGGTAAAACGCACCTGAACACTCGAGCAGCACACCGAGCTGTTAGTGGATTTGCAGTATACCGTGTGTTACGAATTTCACTGCATCTACCCCAGAGGCTGAGAGACATCGAGCCTGACATCTGCTGCTCTCACTGGTCCATGTCTTTGCACAGAATTTTATTCAGTCAGATTTACAGGTGACAGTCCATTTAAAACTATTTAGTCTTCCCTCTTTAATTACAAAGCAAGTAAGTTCAAAATTCACGCAAAGTTTTTGCTAGGAAATAGGACATTCCTTAGTATCATGCTTTCGAAGTGGTAATCAGAAGAAAGTGGTAATGAGAAGGAAACTAATTGAAATCTCCTGGTTTATTTCCTAAGCCTTCTAAGTTTGTGTGGGGTTTTTTTTGGTTTGGCTTGGTTTTTGGGAAAAAACAAACCAAAACAAAAAACAAATTTTCAAAGCTTTAATATCCTAGAAGTAAATTTTACAGCTAAATAAAAATATAAAACTTATCTGTTATAGTAAAAATCCAACTGCCATAAGGACTTTAAAGTAACAGGAAACCACTCAAATTCCAACCTACAATGAAAAAGCAGAAGGTAACTTAAATTTTCTTTTCTGAAGCAAACTCTCCTGAAGCGGTCTCACACCATTTATTTTATGGAATGGCAGCTAATGAGAAAAGGTTCCGCTGCAAATCAGGCAACTGATTGGATTTGGGGATGCAGCAACGACTACCTGAGTAGCTTCAATAACCAAACAATATGAGCTTTCTGGGTGCAGAGAGGCTGGGCTGTGATTTTTTACTGTATTTCTCTAAAGTTTGCACATTTTTGCTTAGTTTTTAATTTTAGGAAAGGCTACCAGAAAAACTACCTTCCACATCTATTCAGACCAGAACCAGCAAATAGCAGAAACAGGAGAAAGACTTACGCTCCCAAGATTTCTAAACCAGAGTAAGTTTAGATAAATATCAGCTCTTAATAATATCTGGCTGTCTGGAACCGAATGACAGATAAAAGGAAGAGTGAAAGATGAATGACAGATTGTCTGCTTTTGCCTATGGATAAGCAGGTGAATGGAGCTTAAGCTGCCTCTCAGGCTAAACCGAACCCATTAACGTCCACTTTTGATTCTTTTATTGTAGTTTCCAGCATCTTTCCGGTGTCTAACATTAACTTTATGGAACCACGGCTCCCTGAGATGAGACATCTGTATGGGTTGTACCACGCTGGTGCACTCATGCCTCGCACATAAGGAGGAATTCTTTGGGAGAAGAATGTCAGTGTTTAGTTGAGGGGTAATAATCAAGCCAGATGACACAGATATTTGATTTATGTGAGTAACAAAGAAGAAATTAAGTAAATGCCTATTAAAAAAGTCTCTTTAAACCAATAAATGGAGCATTTGTACATAGGCACTTTTCTCTATTTACCTTTATGCTGTTAATGAGAAATTATCTGCTTTTCTCTCAAACTTATCTAACTAAAATTGCCTGATTTTAAAATGTGTGAAGTTTTTAAACGAATATGATGACTCTTTAAAAAAGCAATTTAGTTTGGTAAGAACAACCGCTACGCTTCCAAGATATAGCCTCATTTTAGAAGATGCAATTTTATTAGCTAATTGGCTGAAGCATTAAAAAAGAAAAGTATGTTCTGCGCCACTTTCAGGTCACAGGGCATTTTCAGTTATTTAGAAATACAAGGAATTTTTTTGTAACATTATAATGCAAAGACAGGAAAGACTGTGTTTAATGAGGCTGCTTGACTGTCCATACTTGTAGCCAAATGACAGCAGATGATGCGGGGGATAACGTGAATGATGATGGGTGCAAGACAAGAGAATTGTTAAATTTAGAGAAAAAGTCCATAAGAAAAACAAACAGGCAAGATGTGGCAGCTGGTGACAGCGCACACACAAGAGTAGGCAGGAGGACCTGCATTATCTGTTCCTCTCCTTTTTTTACTCAGTTTGCTGGCTTTTGCTCACTGCAAAGGGTGACTGCAGACTCATGCAGGCATCGTTTTACATTTGGTTCATATTTTTGAGGTTGTCTCTGCAGCCACAAGAGGCAAAACCTTTTTTTTTTTTTTTTTTAATTAATGAAAGCTGAGAATCCGAGTAAGAGGAAAAATCTGTAGCCCATTGTGCTACTATGGAATCTGGGAATACAGAAGGGCCCAGCACACAAGCTGCAACAGATGCAGGCACAACTATTCAACTTTATAAACAAGTCACCCACAAAAGTGAAGGAACAAAGCGCACCAGAATACACAGCCCTCCTCCTTTTCTCATTCTCAAGGCGGTAGGGACGATGTATTCACCAGTAGCAGCGGCAAGATGACAGTGGATGAGACAGACTGGACTCTCTCTTCCAGGTCATCGCTATTTTTGGCTGGGGAGATGCTTGCAAAACTCTCATCTGTACCGGACACCCAAAAAAGAGCACTGTCAGGACGAACCCACTGCTGCCAACCTGCTCCCAGTCACTGATAACGCTTTCTGACGAATAGGTTTAGCTCTCGTTTCAGCAGGTATCTGGAAGCAGTTTTCACTGCATGAAAATTTTAAGGGAAAACTGATATAAACTGATTGTAAACAAATTAATATCAGTTAATATATGTTTCATACCAGACTCTTTTTTTTAGCAGAAAAAACTAGAGGTGGGACACATTTTCCCAAAATAATCCTAAAAGGATTCCAATTTATCTTACTAAGTTAGAGCGAAACTGATTTGTTTTGGTTCCAAATTGAAGAAACACATTTGAAGAAAGTGTACAGTGACTGTGTTATCGTTACGGTTGCAAACATTTATTTGCTGGGAAATTGGAAGTATTAGAAATTCAGTACAATAGCGTCCAAGGGCGCAGTGCACATTATACCCTATTTACCTCTTCAGTCACGAGTGCAAAATATACTTATGGTTGATCCTGAATTCTGCCTGCCCAACAAGTAAACAGTTCCATAAACATTCGAACACCACAAAGGAGGAGAAGGGCTTGCCCCAGCAAAAGTGTTAATGACAGTCTCTCCTTTTCAGGCTAGAACCAGAGAAGAAATCAACATTATCTCAAGTTTTCCAACACAAAGTTGCAATGTATCTGAAGTTAACAGAAGCTTCAGCCATGCTCCTCACATCCTCACTGTACCTTTCACAAACTTGAATGCTGGAAAATCACCAACAGTGTGTTAAGAGGGCAGCGGCCACATTGGCTGTAATGTCACAATTTTCTTTCACAGTGGATAAAACAGCACTTCCTCCAAACAGACCCTAAAATTTCTTCTGAATTTGTATCCAGTTATTTTGGGATTCATTCTTTCTTTGCTGCACCTTTTCCACAGAAGATGGGACTATAATATCACAAGCCAACTTCCTTTATGCTATTCATCAAGTCATTCTCTGTGGAAATGAGAAATTAACTCATTCAAATTAAATTTATTTTAAAGGCATATCCATTAGTTCTGCTGATTTGTCCTGTCAGGAATTCCATCTGGAAACATACTTAGAAGACAACGGCAATTTTTTAGGACTAGTCTGAAACACTACATGATTCAATGGAAAGGAAATAAAACTGCTCTGAAGAAAGTTCTGTCTGTTTTTTTGGCAATGACAATGCATCTGATCAGCCAAGCTTTGACAAAACTATTCCCACACGAACATCCAAAGGAGCCCTGTGAGTCTACCCCAAAGTTTCCTTTAGCTCTCACACAGTCTCAAATACCAATCTTCATGTCTGCCACTGATTAATACAGCGCTTCATTCCCAAATGCAATTATCCCATTGACCTTTTGCTACTGTGGAAACGAGCAAGCCTATGGGTCTATGTTCTATAATCACATTTTTGTCCTAATTGTGTCCTTAATACACACAGGCTTTATACATAGGCCTGGAATCCAGTCTAGATATTGCCCTTTATTAAATTTCAGAGATCTTCTAGTAACAATGCCATTACAGTCAAGACATGTTCTCATGACACAGTAAAGCCTGGGATGAAGAAGCTGTAAAGAATTTTTTTCCCCCGTGCAACCTTTGCCAAAAGTATACTTCAAGAATCCACATCTACGTCGTTCCCCTCTCAAGTTCCACCTTCAAAGATTATTCCCTGCTTTCTGAAAATAAGGGGAGAGATTTTAATGGGAGATAAAAAAAAAAAATAAATCTTTTGAGGTTGTAAGGAATGGTTGTAGGCAGCCGACATACTTTGGTACTTACACATCACCTACACTGTTTCAAAGCTTTTTAAAACTAGCAAAGTAAGACAAAACCAGCCATATTCTTTGCAGATGTATTGCAAAGGCATAATTTACCTCTAAAATACTTGGCTGATTTAAGCTTTCTATAGTCCTCAGCAAACCGGAACGTGTGTTTTTCAGAATTACTGTTTTTGTGATGGTCATTTTTTAGAACTAAGCGTGCGTCAGTGCTTTCACCCATCACAGAGGGTCTTGTAAATACTACATCCTCGTTAACAGGCAGAGGTAACAAACACTTGCTTTGTGCTCTGTACTCACCTGTAAACATTTTTGTAACAGCCTTACTCTGCTTACGGGCAGAACACAGGAGGAGCAGCCAGGGAGGGAAGAACTCAAAGTGGCCAGCTAAAAGCTCCGCTATTGTTCCAGACAAACTCGTAGAAGTCTGTTCACCCTCGGAAACGTTACAGCCCTCATCAACTGAATCTACGAGCAGGAAGAGACTCTGCTGAGGGGGCTTCATTCCCAAGAGAGGGAGCAGAATGCACCTGTAAGGAACATGAAACAAAAATCAGTATTTTAAGTACATTTCACGGTACGTTGACTATCATACAGTCATTCAAGTTGAAGCCATGATCAACCTAAAATGCAAAGTTAAGTTTTTAAACAGTCTAAGGAATTTTTTTAAATAGTTACCACAGAAAACACTGAGGTAGACTGAACTAACAGAAATAGAGATAGTTTCGCAGTCAGTGATGTAATTCTTGCTTAGGCAATATTACTTCTTAATGAACTTATAATTTATACCACTACTTTAAAAAGATGTAGTGTTGTTCAAGGCTGATTAGAAGACTTGGAGAAACGTGGCTTCACTAAGAAAGAAGCTACTTGGCCTAAAATCTAAGAACTTCATTACTGTTGTCTCTGCCAAAGCTGTTAGCATCGCTTATCAGAAACTAATAGCGAACAATAGTTGGTCATGAAACAGAAGGCTAAATAAAAGACATATGAAACATCAAAGCTTAAAGAGTTCAAGTCTTAATGAATAACAGTTTTACAAAGAACGGAATTTATGCCATACCTTCACAAATTAAATGCAAATTAATTTAGTAGCAGACTGAGGCATTTAGTAGTGACTTTGATGTATTAGATTTTACTTATATTGAAGTTGCCATGCTCCCGTGACTAGAAAATGAGTATCTACAACCTCAAGATGCCAGCATTTATACCAACGCATCTAATTGTGCAGCTCAAAATCTTAAATTTGCATGTATTGTTGCCAACCTTAACAGTACTCCTTAAAAATATATCTAATTCTGCACTTGCATGTATCTTTAAATAGCTACTACATAACTGTCATCCATCTATCCAGTATTTCCACACTATGCTATTATTTTTTGGGAAACTTCAAAAAAATCTTTTTTTTTTTTAATTTTTTGGGGGAAACTTCAAAAAACACCGGTTAGGGTTTAGGCCCCTAAGTTTCACTGACTACGTTATCTTTAAATACCTTTGGCAAGCAAACTTTGACTTCACAGTAAAAAGATCCAGAAAATGAACCAAGGTGAGAAAAATTTGTCACTAACAGTTTACCCTCTGTTGTAGATTCGTTATTTGCACACGTCCAGAAGGCACGCACATCATAAGCATTTTTTGTTTTACTCAAGACCACAATAATCTTTTTTTTATTTGTTTTACTGATCACACTTATCTTTAGAAGCCTTTGGCCAACACATTATTACCTACCAAGCACTCAAATTGGAAGAGAGGCAAATCTCGCCTGCTAACGGAAGAACGCAACCCGCTTCAGAAATAACTCGCAAGCCCTGTTAGTGGAAGGTTTGTTATTTTCTGGTTTTCTGGCTGAGAAAGATGCAAAATGGAAACAGAGTGGTGCACCTTTCACGTCCGACAGCAACAGCAGACTAGCAGAGCAGACTAGGTGATCTATTGCACTTGCAGAAATTTCCCCAAAGGGATGAAAAGGAAGTACAAAATACTTGTGTTCTGAAAGTATTCAGTACTAGATGGATTTTAGATCCCTAACGCTGCCCCATCCTCCTCTTTTTTTTTTTTTTCAGAGGCACAAGACCACTGAGAATTCTTTGGTACTTCCACAGCGAGCTACTCTTTCAGAAGATGTCTGAAGTACAACTAAAATCACTGTTCACTAAGCTGGGAAGTTAAGCAGCTACCAATTTACAGAACAGGAAATTAAAGTAGCCATAAGGTTAAAATTACTTTCCTAAGTGATGCCAATCCCACAATGAAAGGAGGCAGTTGGAAATGACCACATTTTCCACCCCTTCCCCCACCAGAATGCTGCCTTGCCCCCTCAGCTATTTGTGTGAAGGCATTTTCCTTGCAACATTTCTTTTTCTACCAAAACCAGTTTTCTTTTCGCATAGTTCTCTCTATGAAATTACTTTTCGAGTGTGAACGTTACTATGAGAAATGAAGAAATAGTAATGGTATCTTAAATTAAAATCTCACTTAAAATCTGTGTGACCCTAACGAAATGCCTGTAAAATACCTTAGGAGCATCTGACAACTCCCTTGTGTCAGCATTTACCTGTTGGGAATACCATGGGCAAGAGCTAAGCACTGGACAAGCACTAAACCACACTTTCCCAGAGCTCTCGGGGACTGCAGAACACAGTGCTTCCAGGGACTTTCTGAACCAGAGATTCAGTCCCTTAACTGACCACGCTTCCACAGCTTTGTCCAAGTCTTTTATGAACAGACTCAAGCCTCCAGCACCCACAACATCCTGCAGCAAGGTCTCCTGCAGCTCAGTTACACACTGCAGGGAAAAACCCCTTCCTTTCGTAGTTTAAAATCCAAAACATCGTGGTTTCATTTGATACCCTTCAGCATCTGTACCGGAAGGGACAGTGAGCAATGATGTCATATTCACCTTCTCCATGCCATCTGTGATCTTCTGACTTGTACCACAGCCTGAGCCAGTTCTTTCCAGGCAAAAGAGTCCTAATAGATTGATGATGCTTCGTAAAAAGCTATTCCACAGACCTTTGTCTCCCTGTGCTCTGCTTTTTTCCACGTCACAATACTTGAATTCCTGAATCTTAACATAACTTAAATTCCACTAGAAAAAACATATGCACACATACATATATAGAGAGAGATAAGAAATGAGGCACGACTTCTCCCAGCTTACAGCAGTATTATTAAAAGCGTGGCATTGACAAGACAGTGATAAGATTTTCTCTTAAAGTGTCCTTAGAAAGCAATAAACTTCTGTTCTTCCTAGGCATTTTCTGTCTCTGGAGTTCAGAGTAGATACCAAGTCACATAATAGTGAAACTTTTCAGAGAGGTAAGGCTGTGCTAATTTGCCAGCAGTCATGTCGTGTTTATTTCCATAATGCGACTTAGCAATTCCACTCCTCTTCAATTTCTTGCTTGCCTAAGAAAGCTACATAAATCAACACGGAATTAACAATGTCTTAAAGTACTTCCATAAATGGTGATTCATCTACAGATTGTTGTAACAGATTGCTTGACTTGCACAGCGCCTCTCAAAAGATTAGTTGATTTTCTTTACCTTCTGACAGGATAACAGTGCTATCTTTATAAGTTCTACATCCAGTGCAGATATGAGAGCGGTTATTGTCACAGAAATAGAAACTGATTTAAAACAAAATTAACTCATCAGTAGAAATACAAAATCTCTAGAAAACCCAGCACAATTAGGTTATTTTAAATGATGGAATTAATTTTAATGCCAATGTAATGCAATGACTTATTTATGCAGAGTGAAGACATTTTACATGCACTCTAGCAAATAAGGAGTCCTCAGAACAACGAGCCATCCCACAGAATTCTTTAGGATTGCTACTGAGTTGACTGAACCCACACAAACATGATTTTCCACATACGGAAGGAATATATACAGACTATGCTGAAGTTCTGCTTATGATTACCCCCGAGATTTTTAGATTGGATCCACAGAAATACCAAGACACAACAGAACAAAGTAGAAAGACGGCAGCGTTGCCCACAAAGGCTGAAAAGAGAGCCACAGCGGAATGCACACACTTGCTAAAATAAAAAAAAAAGAAAAAAAGAAAAAGGCAAAACACACACATGGCAAATAATTAATGAGTGGTTCTAGGAGCAAAAGAAGTCATAAATCCCGGTTTCTTATGAATGTGTTCCTCATATTTGATCGTCTCTGGTGTATAGGAAATTCAGTTAGTCCCCACTTAAATGGTCTGATGCCTGTTACAGTAGCTTATCGCTAAAAGGGCTCCCTTTTCTCTGTCCAGCTGCTAGCATTCACTACTGAAAAACACACAGAACAAGCGTATAAAACTTATCTCCTAAGCCAGCCAGAAGACAAAAGCAAAAAAAAGGAGGAAAAAACCCCAACCCCCTCCCTCCCTAATTTGTTAAAGAGTTGAGGCGCTGCCTCTTTTAGCAAAATACAAAATACTTCAAATTTCATGACCGAAACGACTGATTTGGAAATCTGCTTAACTACTACTACAGCGCTTAGGCTTCTTTTTCTACATCAGTATGACAATTCTTTAATAAACTGCCTTTTGACACGCCTTCTCGCCAATAGGTTAGTTTAGAACTTGTATTTCAGTTCAGTCACTAATGTCAAGAACCACCATCCCAGAGGTCTGTGTCAGGAATTTACAAACTCTGCTCTTTTCAAAGAAAGTTTGTAAGAAAGCAGACAGTAATCATTATCCCACAAACAGCCTTCTTTGCTTTTTCCTCCCGCTTTTTTGCAAATGCTTCTACACCAGATTCCTTGAGCAAATTCACCAGTTATTTCTCATATTCCTAAGCCCTACATACTAAATTAGCCTCTCCCCCCCCTTCCTTCCTTAATTATCAAAGGGTTAAAACTTTTCCTCCTCCTTTTAAACTATTAGATGCCTCCAAACATTTTATTCAAAGGAAACAACCTGCTCTAGGTGAACCTGCTTTAGCAGGGGGGTTGGACTAGATGATCTCCAGAGGTCCCTTCCAACCCCCAACATTCTGTGATTGAGAGACGATCTTTGTCTCGGGAGCCAGCGTCAGGATTCATGCGGAAAGCGGGCACGCACCCTGCACTCTCACAACGGTGGAACGTGAAACTGATTTTGCATTGGCAGACCGAAACCACAGCACTTTCACCAGGGTTACGGAGCGAAGCCCACCGTCCTCTTTGAAACTTCGCTGCTACCTTCACCAAGCCTGGGGTGAGCCTCTGAAACGCCGTACGTACCACCGCAGAGGTACAGCACTCAAACAGCCCACCGAGCAGGTCCTCAGCCCAGCAGAACACACCCTTTTCTACACCAGGCCAACACTATCGAAGAGGTCAGGGATACGCTTCTGCCCACACACGGATTGCTTCAGGCTGGCTAGCCAGAAAGGACCCCAAGCCCACCAGCAGCAATTACTTTTCAACTAGCCGTTAGCTTATGCTCAGACTTCGCCTACGTCGTCCTCCTCTTCCTGCCTAAGTTTTTCTGACATACCTGGAGAACAGCATTGTGCTGGGTGCTTGTTGGGGTTGGGAGCATGTG